AAAAAGTTATGACCAGTCTTAAAGAAAAAAAATGTATGACTAACTTGTAAGACTAGTCTAAGTGGTTTATGCAACCGGTCCCTGGTCCCTGGGTGTTTAACTGTAAATACCCTAAAAGTTAATGGTGGATGATGCGGGCAATTATTCTTCGGTGACATCCCTGGCTAATCAACAAAACAAGGTAGGAAGATTTTATTATTTTAATACGACTGTCTGGGTGGAAGAGGTTGAGAGAAGGGGGAATGATAGTTACACTCACAGATCCGGCGGCTCCGGAGTGAGTGGATATACACCAGGCCAGCTGGTTCCGGCGGCTTCTGGTGAGAGGAAGCCAAGCTGTGTTGTTCAAAGATCGCTGGCTCCATCTCTGTTATAACTTCAGGTGACTTTTAACCGTGACTAAGGCCCCGTCCACACTACTGCGTTTTCGTTTAAAAACGGAGACCTTTTGCTACGTTTGCACCTCCCGTCCACACTAAAACGGCAAAAACGGAGACCCAAAACGGAGAAGTTTAGAAACGCTGCCGACCCGTTTTTCGTTTTGAATCTCCGGAGGGCGTTTTAGTGTAGACGGGACAAAACGGAGAACTTTAGAAACGATGACGTAGTAGAGGCTCACGCTCGGCTCTATGATTGGGTGTCATCAGTCATGGCGTATATCTTTGCTAGCAGCTGTTGTACAAGTAAATTCTGCATTTTACACTGCTATAACTGCCTACATGCGCCGGAGTCAAGCTATTATTCGAGCGATCTGTGACAATTCCCGTGTGCAGCGGCGGCGTTGACCGTACATGGAGCGTCGGTTTGGGGTTAACCCAGAGCATGGTGGGATAATTTTATCAATGAAGTTGTGTTTACACCGGCGCGCGCATGCCCAGTGTTGGTGAAAGGTCACGTGATCCGCGTTTTCAGTCATTTTAATGTGGACGGAGATCAATTCTAATACGCAGCTAAAACGCTGGTGTGGACGGAGATCGTATTCGTTTTAATTATCCGTTTCTAAACTAAAACGCAGTAGTGTGGATGGGGCCTAAGATATGGCTGACAAATTGAGTAACTTGATCAGTAACCTAAATTATGGGTTGGGGATCATTTCCCTGGACAAGTGTGACTCAAGTTAAACAGAAACTTTGTGGAAACCCCTAATATGTTGAATTTTTCTGTGCAGCTTATGAAAATGAATGTGCTGCCAATGATAATGATTCGGCTATTGTGATTGAATCCGCACCCTTCACCTTACAGATGTTTTTATATGCCCAAACAGCAACATTACACACTAACTAAAGTTGAAAAAGCATAATAGGACCCCTTTAAACTAACACATTATGCCACTCACATGATCACCCACATCCTTATTATAAGGAAAATGGAGAGATGTCTGGCTCCACGTCTATTTACCTCATAGGGCTGCAGAGCAGCGAGAGAGAGACAGGTCTGGCTGCTCTCTTTGCCAAGTGTTCTTATGATGAGAAAACCATTCTCACATCCCCCATAGTCTGTTAAACACACTTACATAGGCACATAATGGTATTATACACATATACAGTGGCACCAAAAAGTATTTGGACACTTTTGTTGTTGATGGTGCTTCTGATATTATTGGGAGATTTGACAGTGCCAGTAAAATGACAGAACTGCAGCACTATTATTTGATTAATCAGGCACTGGTTTTGGTGTTGGACATCATAAGGAGTGTTGAGATAATGGGTAAACTCTGTTAGTAATTTAATATTTTGTTTTCCTGTAAGAAAATAAAGTTTCCAGAGTTAGTCATACTTCAGCATATTACACATGTAAGTCATGTCCTGTGTTGTGGTGTGTGATAAAATTTGAGGCCAGATGGTACACTGCATATATTCCATTATTTAGCTTGAATGAGTTCAGGACGAATAAAAGCCAGCAACCAACTTACTGCATTCACCTTTTAAATAATTTATCATTTCTGTAATAATTCACCATAATTCCAATGAGACTGGATGGTTGCTGAATAAAAAATAGAGACAGTCACTCACCTTTAATTTTAGGATCAATATCATATACCACTCACTTACCTCTGCTGATTCTGCAGGCACTGTCTGAGTTCCTCTGAACCCCTCTACCTCCCCCAGCTCCACATGCCTAGATCTGCTACGGGACTTATGTATGTCTATTTATGCATCATCAGCATATGCTTTACAGCAGCTTGTCTGTGTATTTAATGGCAGTAGCAAGTACACATTTGCTCTGCAGCAGCGGCATGTATAGCAGATCTTCTAATTTGGACAACTTGAAAATGATTTCTTGTACAACTGATACACTGAAAAAATGATTGTAGAAAGTTTTCACTTCAGTACTCAGTAAATTTCACAATCAATTACAAAGAAACATCTGTTTTATTTACAACTTTGATTTTTTTTTTTTTTACAGCGTATAGCAGTATAAGCTTGAGCAACTCAGCTGAAGAATTGTGTGAATAGAAGAAGAAAGTACTAAAGAAATGGTGGCAGGGTTTGAAAGGAAATAAAGTTCAGAAAGAGAGAGTAGAAGTGAGAAAAGAGTGGAAAAAGAGACAAAAGAAAAAAGGACAGGCATCCTGCTTTGCTATAGTACTCTACTTTGACCCAGTTATAAAGCTGATATGAAGTTGGACTCATGCAGTAATTACAGTCATTATGAAATACAATCACATATCCTTCATAGGGATAAAATGCTCCTATTTTTCTCTGTCTGTGAGGAGGCGAATGGGGGCAGATCATTTTTCATAGACAGATCCTGAGATGATGTAAGCTGTAGAGAGTTGGAACCTGTCTTTTGGTCATGGATGAACATTTCCAGCAATTGCTAGAGGGACGGGACAACAAAGCCAGGACTATCACACTCATGCACATACATACACTGACATGAGCAGACGCACACACAAACACATAATCAGAACAAGGTGTTTCTGCTGGCCTTCAGCACTGCGAGAAAGCCAAGCTTGAAGACTCAGAAGATTTATAATAAAACCCCTCCTCCTCCTCTTTACACTGCTTTCTCAATCTCTCTCTTTCTCTGCTCCACATCTGTTTTTTGGCCCCTCACATCAGGCCCAGGAGACAACAATATATAGGTCAACGTGCACAGCTGAAACTATGACCACACTCACTTATTATCTGATAGAAGGACATTAAACAGACATGCGTGGCATCAAGCAGAGGGTTACGAAACACACTGTAGACAATCTTCATCATGAGATTTCTCATCTCTTCAAATGATTGGTGAGATCATGCTGGACTACTGCTGAGTGGAAAGAAATTATTTTCAAATAAATAGGTTAGACTGACCTCTGCAGGCAAATCTGATGAAGTACATAAAATCACAAAAGGGGGACATTCAAGTGTGTGTTCACTACTCACTCCTCCTAATGTGTGTTCTTGGATGGGTTAAATGCAGAGCACAAATTCCGAGAATGGGTCACCATACTTGGCCTTCACGTCACTTGACATCACAGCAACACCAACCATCCAATCAAGTCCTGATGGACAAAATATAGTCCCGCCCACTGTTGGGTGTAATGCATTACTAAGTAATTAATTACTACAATTTAATTACTTTTTCCTTGAAAAAATGTAAAGTAAGGGATTACTCTTACTTTTTCTGTAATTTAATAATTGTTACTTCTGATGTAAATGCATTAAACACTGTATAGAAGAGTATTTAAAGAGTATAGAGTATTAAATACTCTTTAGAACTATTCTATATAAAAACAATGCTGGATTTAAAGCTGCAGTCCGCAATTTTTCCTCTGTCGCCATCTCTGTTCGAAATCTGCAATTGCAGTCATTCGCGGAATTATCAACTTTACGTGAGTTGTACCTCGGCACGGCACAGCGCGGATGAATCCAATGTTTTGAGGAGAATGTGCAGCTGTCAGTCACTGCGCCGGTGTGGATACTGTCATTAGGAATCACAGATTCTACTTTTTGGAAGTATGACCAACATAATAATTTTCACCCTAAAATGTCATCTGAACAAGTAAGTAACATCCACTTTTGTTCTTCTGACCAACTAAGGGAAAAAAGCCATTGCAGTAAATCACGCTGATTAAATCTAACGATCGATTATCATATCACGTCAAACCGTGCAAATTATACTTTGTTCTCAAATTGTTAATGTTAACAACATCAGCATTGTGTGACTACATTTAATGCCCTTCCGATATTATCCTTGTTTTCGCATGGGCCAGTTGCAGTCTCTTTTTCCAAACTCTTTTGCATTTTACAGCGGGTGAATCTCTAGTTGTCACTGGTGATTTTCATTTGAACTTTTCTGGATCCGGCATCAAATTGATAAGTTTAATTATATCAAGTGCTGCGACAAAAGGCTATAAATCTCCACCTCCAGCATCCTCACACTCAACATAGCCTACTAGCCGAGACTCCTTCTTTATGTGTACAGATGTGACGTAATGACGCAAAGACTTGCGCGAATCTCCCGCGGAAATCCACCAGTACCACTGGAATTAAAAACATTATTACAAGCTTTCCGTTTTGAATAGTGCTAAAGGCAAGCAGATAGTTTTGAACACTGGCTGGTTATGTACTTGCTCAAACATTTATTTTGGATCATTTTTAACCCAAAAAAGCTTTAACATCCAAATATAACATCTAATGATAAAATGTATATTTTTATTATAACCTTCTGCCTTTAAATACTTTGGTCAGTTCAAGAACAGTTTATGCAATTTTATATTATTTATTTGAAGAATTCAAAGAACAGCCATGCCCTAAATTTCTTTCGAGTTCAAAAAGCCTTTTCACAACATTTTGTATTTATTTTAACTTTGTATTTTTTATTCACTTTTTTATGTTTATTTATGTTATTTATTTACTTACTTTTCATTATTAATGTTATAAGTAAATGTTATGTAACAGTGTTTTTTTTGTTTTTTGTTTTTTTAAGTTCAATAAATACACAGTTAAAAAGAAAAAGCCATTTCACTCAGATATTTGTCACAATAGGGAAGAAATGACTATCACAGGTTATGTTTCATGATGACTTTAATGCCATTCATTCTTAATTCATTCATTCTAAACATCAGTGAGTTTATTGATTGAAATAGTTAATGAGTAGCAAATGAGTCCAAACGCAAAACTTCCTTTCCATCTTAAGACTACATTTTTGGATATTTCTTTTTGGCCAACCGCACAAAGTCTTCAGCACTGTCCAAAGACACCAGGCGATCCTAGGAAATGATCATTATAATTAAAATATTTCAAACCGACTGAACTGCTTGCAAAACTGGGACAACCGTGATCAAGCCAAACATAATAATGTAGATAGCTCCACTGTAGATAGCTCATCATGATGAGAGTCCATGTAATGTACACATACTTGAGGCTAAAGATTAGGACTGTAATTTATTATGCAGACATTAATTTACCATGACGAAGACGTATCTTTCATTGTTGCTGAGCCCACAGGGGAAGAGGCTTGTCTCCTTTGACACTATGTGCAGCAGTTCTCTGGCCTTCTCCACATTGTCCCAGTCACTCCGAACGGTTTGTCTGTTCACTGTCAGTAAGAAGTCCACCTCCCTCTGGTAACCTGGATCAACAGATACCTTTACATGAATGCACGTCTTCAGACACCAAGGCATGCTTACACTCCACACAGCCATTACATGGGCAAATAAGGGTCATGTTTGACTTGGTATTCTATTGCTATTATCCGCTGGCATTGTGCATTTAAGGTTAAATAATGAACTGTTTTAAGCACAAAATGAACATTGTTCTCGCTGTGACAAGAGATGGAAAAGTAAGCAAGAGAATTTAATAAGACAGAGAAATGTGAAAATAAAGAATAAATATAATGTAAATAAAACAAAAATATACTGTATATAAAAATACATACACTAGGCCTACCACCCAATGGTTTGAGGTCAGTAAGTCTGAATCTCTTATGCTCGCCCAGGCTGCATTTGATCAAAAATACTGTAAAAACTGTAATATTGTAAGATATTATTACAATTTAAAATAGATATTTTCTTTTTGAATATATTTTAAAATGTAATTTATTCCTATGATGCAAAGCTGAATTTCCAGCATCATTACTCCAGTCTTCAGTGTCACATGATCCTTCAGAAATCATTCTAATATTCTGATTTGATACTCAAGAAACATTTCCTTATTATTATCAATGTTGAAAACAGTTGTGCTGCTTAATATTTTTGTAGCAACTGTAATACATTTTTCAGGGTTATTTGATGAGCAGAAAGTTCAAAAGAACAGCATTTATTTGAAATATAAATATTTTGTAACAATGCCTGTCACTTTAGATCAATTTGATGTGTCCTTCCTGAAAAAAAGTATCAATTTCTTTAAAAAAAATCTTACTGACCTCAAACTTTTGAACATACTGTATATAAACGAAACATATAAAAATAATATATATATATATATATATATATATATATATATATATATATATTACATTTTGAAAAAATGAAAGAAAAAACTGAATATAAAATATAAATATATGGTCCACCTCACCCAGCTGAAGCAAGATCTTCTTCCAACGTGTTCCAACTTCTTTACGAGCACACCTCAGACTGTGGATATCATAGTTCAGCTTCTCCCATTCCTAACACACACACACGCACGCACGCACACACGCACACACTGTACATCTTCTATACAAAACATAAAAAATGACTGGTATTACTAACATTGTGGGCACATTTGGTCCCCACAGCATATGGTTTACTGGGGACCACACACACACAAATATGTTTGTATAGCACTATTCATATCTAGCAGTGTTGGGCAGTAGCGTCGCTACAAGTAGTGACGCTACTAGTTTAACTACATTTCTCAGTAGCGTGGTGGTAGCGTCGTTGTTTTCTGAATCAAATAGCTTTCCAGTAGCGAAGCTCTTTTTTTGATTAAGTAGTGCGGTAGCGTCCACACAAGCTACATTTCCCCAAGCATTTCTAAAGCTCAAGCTCAAATCGGAAATACAACTACTAAGTATCACTGATGCATAAAGACGATTTAAAAAGGAATCATGCATGTTCTGCGTGTCTCTGTGAATGAATGGCTCAGACGCGCGGATTCATTTACCACACACACACACACACACACTGAAGCACGCTCGCGATGTTTTCAGCCTATATGAGGACATTCATACGTGCACTTCATCTACACAGCCGCTCTGAGAGTCACTTTAGAAGCATTTTAGCTTGATTTGAGAAAAACTATCGTCATATCAAAAAAACACAGAGAGACTCAAAGGTCTACATGGCAACCTGTCAAAATAAAAGGTTGGTTTAACCTTTGAAGAAAGTTTTGCTTAAATCATTAGGCCTACATTTTAAATAAATTGGTCATTACAATTTAAACCATTAAAAAAAAAACATTTCATAGCTCTCTTAAAATGTCATTTATTTAAAAATTTTAATACATTAGTATTAAATTGTATACGTTTCATAATTTCAATTAATTACACGTTTTTGATTACAAAATTTTTATTTAACCATTAAAATGGGAGTCCAGAAAAATGAAAACGAAATAAAACTGAATTTGGAATGTGGGGGAAAAAATTTATTCTATTTTTAAAAACATTTTTAAAAAAAATGAAAATTTCATAGGGCTCTACAAACCAGCTTTTTGGTGCATTACCACCACCTTCTGCTCCGTATGGTGTGACATCACGTACCAATATCAATCCTTGGGCTGACACGTGAGAAATGTACTTAATGGAAAAAGATGCACCCGCTCTTGACACCTGGTTTTGTTATAGTTTTATATAGTTATATGGTTTTATGTTATGTTATGTTTTTTGTTGTTGTTTTTTTTGTGCCAAATTGGTTTGGAACAGTTGTTGAATAAACAATTGAACTGACAAATTCTGCCTGTCTATATTTGATTGACAGTTTTATTGATCACTGAGATCACATATTGACTTGGAATGAAGTATAAAAATAAAACATTTTATAAAATGTAAAAAAAAAAAAAAGCTTACATGTAGTAAACTACTTTTGCCATATCGCTGTAGCTGATGCCGCGTTCCAGGCAACCTGTAACCCGTGTTTTTCCAACCTTATACCCGTGAAAGTGCACTGGAACGGCAGTCAAACCCGTGACTTCCCACCCTTGAACTCGTACTAGATCGATGTACTCCCAGTTACGAGTTCTGACGTCACATAGCCCGCAAAACCATACAAAACAACAATGGCAGCCCCTACGGATGCCGTGTTTCTGCAGGCAGTACACAGTGAGAATACACTTTAGGACAATATAACGTTGCAGTCAAATTAATAATAATATAATAATAATGATAATAATACACACAAGATTATGTATTACAATGTTATGTGTCTGAAACAATAAGTATGTATATACACACACACGATTATGTATTACAATGTTATGTGTCTGAAAAAATAAGTATGTATATTGCGCTCAGGTAGTTTGGCGTGACTGGCCTGGAATGCTACAAAGTCGTGAGTCGTGGTTTGAAGTCGTGATTTACGTGCTCAAAAACCTGCCTGGAACGCAGCATTAGCTTGCTACATTTCCCAGGGTGGTAGCTTCAGTGTAGTGAAGCTACATTTAATGTAGAGTAACTGCTAGCTTAGCTCACTACATTTTCTAAGTAGCTTGCCCAACACTGATATCTAGTCTATGAATCAACGAATCTGTGCCCATGCAACCGAAATTAACAAAAATAAGAAGAGCGGTCAAAGAGCAAGACCGAGAGAATGCTGTGAAGAGCTTTGTGGACGGAGACGTAGTTTGCGTGGCAGAACATCACTATTGAGTTACTGTCAATTGACTCTAACAAGTTCCTAAGAGCATTATGGACCACGTGCTCTTCCAACTGCCCAGAGACAAACATGAGAAAAGCTTACTGATCCTGTATGAAGTGGAGACTAACTTCAGAAATGATAAATATTTATCCATGTACATCATTATTTTTTTAAATTAATGTGTCCTTATAATCTTTAATCAAAATAACTTCCCGTCCTTCCTGCTGTGACATTTCTTCTCTTCTCTGATGACGTTTACTGGCGCGAGGGCGGGAAAACCTGTCACTCACGTGACATCACAGCAATAGGAAACCACAACCATCCAATCAATTCCCGAAGGACAAAACCAAGTCCTGTCCTACATTTTTTCTTGTTCGAGAAGCCGTTTCACTTGGATATTCGTCACAATGGGGAAGAAAAGACAACTTCTGTTTCATTCCGACTGAGTAAGAATGTCTGCTGTGCTCATGTGATTTTGGTTTACAGTTAAAATGATTAAAATGTAGCGAGCCAGATCAGTGTCCTGCTGTCCTCACCTTAGCGTTGTGTCTGAAGTGAACTCTTCATCACTTGTCTTTCTGGCACAGTTGAGTGAACCGAATTCAATTTGAGAAAATTGGCAAATTGCATCGTCCTAAATTCCAATGTATTCACTTGTAGCCAAACTATAATACAAAAAAGTAAAAATAGCATCTTCTCTAAAACACGAAGTAGTACTTGATTTTGAATTGGTTCATGCATAAATATATAAGATAATCTGAAAATTTGTGAGCTGATGTTTGAATGCATGCATTTGAATGTGGTAAATATGACATGTAATGGTAGAGAGGGATCCTGTCTGAATATAAGAGGCAACTGTGGGCTCATTGATCATTAAACTAAAAAAATGCGACCTAAATTACACACAAACTGCCCTAGATTATCGTCACACTTGACATTTCCCAGAATTAATTTTCAAGAATTGTGTAAGCTGTCATTCATATGCCCATATTTAAGTGCGACTCACAAAGAATTTAAGAATTAACTTGGATATAAATGCAGTAAAATATATTCGCTTGCTTAGTTCTGTATTTGTTTTCGCACTTCGTTCTTACTGTATCTCAAAGTGCATGTGTATTTGTTCCTTACCTCAGTATCCCTTTCCGCTTTGTTCCTCATCTTGATGAACGTGTTTAATTCAGCATCTGATTCCCCCTCAGTAATGGAGATGGAGGTTTGAGTGCTGCTCCAGGTCCTCCTCTCCTTCTCTGCTCGAGATCTGCTGTCCTGCAGCTCATGACCCTCTGCTGTCTCACTGTCCCTGGACATACTGGTCCTGCATTAAAAGACTTTATTAAACAACACTGCACAAACACATCTGGATAAAGTTCTGTTAAAAATGATATTAATGAACTCGTCATTTCTACAAATATATAACTATATATAATTATTATAATATATATCATTATTCTTATAATTATTAAATATAATTAAGACATTTAACAATATAAATTAGTATTATGTATTTATTTTTCATTATTAAATACTAAAAACCATTATTAACCATTTTTATATAATTTTAAATGATATTAAATATTTTTAATTTCTTATTTTTGTCATGATAAATTATCTTTCAATTATTTATACTCCATACAAGAAAAAGACACATTTTATATTTGTTATTTTTACAATATAACAATAATTATTCTTAAAATTATTAAATATAATTAAAATATCCAACAATAATAATTCTAATGTACTTAATTATTTTTTCCTTTTTAAATACTTATAACAAAACAATTTTATCACTCACTGCTTGTTGAAATTCGTTTATGTTTTTTTTCCATGATAAATATTTTCTTTAACTATGTACTCTATACAAGGAAAAATGTCAAGGTTACGACTGTAACGTCTGTTCCCTGAGAACAGGGAACGAGACACTGTGTTGATGAGGCTATTGGGGAACACCCTCCACGTGATCCGGTGTCTGAAAAGCTATCCAATCACGGCAATCGATATTGACCGGCGACAGCCTATGACGTCACTACTAGTGCGACCCGGAAGTATAAAAGGGGCGCATAGAGAACATGTCATCCACTTTCGTCTGAAGGGACTGTTCAGCAGGCATCCCCGAGGCATGGCTAACGACGCAGTGTCTCGTTCCTTGTTCTTAGGGAACAGAGGTTACAGTCGTAACCTAGACGTTCCATTTCGAAAGGGAACTCGCACTGCATTGATGATGCTATTGGGTAACGATGTACAATCCCACCATGCTGAGGGGAGTGCATGCCAATTATGGCTCGTGACAAAAACATCAGAACTGGCAGTTTCAACCTGAAATGCCAAGAACACACTCCCCCTTCAGGTCACATACAGGCTGTCAGTGACATTATTCCCAACAGTCACTGCCCAAGCTATAAGCCTCAAAGAGGCCTCCGAACAAAGGAAGGCCTACCAAGGCCGCTCAAAGGCTTGGAACCAACAGCTTCCATGGAAGGGGATCCTTTAAGGCAGCGGTCGGGAACCTATGGCTCGCGAGCCATACCTGGCTCTTTGGCAAAAATCATGTGGCTCGCGAGGTCTCTCACCCTTTACCAACAAACGAGCGAAACAAAAAAAAAAGACACATCAATAGAGATCGGCTCTCTGCAGAAAAATCTGCCAGTTACAATTCCCTTGTAGCACAGTCTACCGAAGTTAGTTAAACGTTTATGATAATAAGTATATTCATGTTGTACTGGCAAAAGTGCGTAGCCTATTCAGTGCTGGTCGCGCTCGCGAGTGTTACGAGTCATCAGAGCAATCAACTTGTCTCTGTGATAACCTACAGCTCCTGCACTGGGATTCAAGCAGCTGCAGCTTGTTTAAGGTAGGCATAATGGCGAAAATCAGCAAAAATGTAAAAGAAGGCTATAAACTTTAATACTTTCACTTTTGCTGCTGAGACCCTTTATGACAAATGGGTCGTATTTTTGATAATCCACGCAGATTTCAGTTGACGATTCTGTTTTAAGTTATTAATAACAAAAAAGAGAAGGATGTGCTTCATATTGAAAAGAAATATTAAAAGCGCGATAAGTCGCGAAAGAGAACGGAAGTACTGGCAGGATGCTGTGTGCGCGCGCAACACGGAAAAGCATAGCCTTTGTCTTCGGTTGCGCACCTAAACGGCCAAATAAATACAGAAATATATAAAAATGGCAAGTCGAGTATTCACGTAAACACAGTAAATGTAAGTACTGTGTTCTCTCTCTCTCTCTCTCTCTCTCTCTCTCTCTCTCTCTCTCTCTCTCTCTCTCTCTCTCTCTCTCTCTCTCTCTCTCTCTCTCTCTCTCTCTCTCTCTCTCTCTCTCTCTCTCTCTCTCTCTCTCTCTCTCTCTCTCTCTCTCTCTCTCTCTCTCTCTCTCTCTCATACACATACACATACACAGACAGAGAGGATTTATGCTCATCAGTTGATAACTCAACCTCACAGTGAAAGCCCTTCACAATTAATATTGAAACTTTGCTAAATATTTGTTTGTTTTTAGCCTAATGCTGTTGAAATTTTATTGATAAAAAGCACGTCTTTAATAATAATAATATTATATAATTATTTTACTGTGGGTCTTTTGGAAAAATGCTTTAACCAAAAATGAAAAAATGGCTCTTTGGTCAAAAAAGGTTCCCGACCCCTGCTTTAAGGGAACATGGCCAGGGGGTCCGAAATGAGTCCCGTCCAGTCACTTTCTGAGGGGAACATAAAGTCAACCCCACATGCCACCAGGGAGGCTGACTTGGTCAAATTTACTGACCTAGTCTTGCCAACAACATGTCTGTTTCCTAAACAGAGTCTCTCACAAAATCCAATAGGGAAAAACTGTAATTATGGCAATAGTTCACTCAAAAACCGGATCATAGAGACGGGCATCCTGGAGAGTAGAACTCAGCAAAGCGCTTGTTAACCCTTACAAACGAGGGGAGTAACTCTACTCGATCCTGGATCTACACAGTGCTTCAAAGCCCTGTGGAGGATGGGTACTCTGAAGGGACCCTAATAAGGGGGGCGCCTCCAGCTCTAGGGCTGATCTAACAGGGAGGCCTCGTGAGAATCCTTCGACCTTCCGACCAGACTTAGAGAGTTAAGTATTCAAACAGAGCGATCCTCAGATAGATTCTGAAACACTATGCTCAACCTGATAAGTACTGACCAGGCTCTAGGCTAAAATCAGGGAGGCTCCATGGGGCCTGCAACGTGATATTTAATGCCTTTGCAATGCTAAGCATCCAACTCGTAGGGGAGCCGCCTTCAAGGAGGCCTGTTAAGGCCTAACTACTTGATAGCGAGGATGTATGCAGAGCCATCAGAAGCCTAGGTGCTCTCACAGACATTTCTGTGGGCCTGGTTATACTTATTTAACATTGCCAACAGGCCGTGTACTCAGCAGAAGTGCTATCAATCCTTTAAAGCAAGGAGAGTACAATCTTACACTACCAGAGTATCGAGGAGGCCTACTGTAAGGCCTACAGCTTCGAAAGTCACAGGGGTCAGCTCAGGCAGTGCTTCGGCTCTAAGGGAGCATACACAACCATCCCAAGTGGGAGGGAGTCACTAATCTGTCTCTACCTGAGCCTGGGTTGTGAAGGGTGATAATAACATACGAGCTATGGGTAGCAAAGTACTCTAATTAATGACCCTAACAAGGGGAGCACTATCAGCATGACCCTAAAGGATGTATCAGGGTTGAGGCCTATTATCTTGTAATTTCACAAGACAGATTTTATATTCTCTACTAAACCCAAGGGAATGGAGGCCTCAGTAAGTGGCCAACGACATTCGACCTTATGACCTTATATTCAAGGGGCTCAAAGGAAAAATCCTTTTTAACTTAAAGCCTTGCTGCCAGCTACCACACTCGATGCAGTAGGGCGGAGGCCTGAGCACACTGCTTCTTACTCTCTAGAGAGAAAGACCTGACAACACCCATAGATATCTGCATGGGAGGCTTTTTGAAGGTAGCCTGCTACCTATGCTGCTATCTACCCTGTTACACCACTAGCATTTACACCTAATGCAAAAGGCAGGCCTTGGCCAGACGACTCTTGAGTAAGAGGAGGCTAGTACTAGGAAAAACTAGATTACAGGAAAAAAATCTCCTGATGGTCTAAGGAACCTACACTCAGATACTGAGAGGCTCGAGGCGAGAATGCTTAGCAGACCACCACCAAAAACCTAGATACTTAGCCTAAGCCAGATATCGAGGCGGCCCCATGAGGGCCGACACACAAATATTATATGTCTGAAGTTCAGAGCTATAATCTCAAAAACGACTCTCCAAAGTGAGAGGAAAACTACTGCTCTAGTATAAGGTGGCCATCAAGGTGGCCTGATGAGGGCCAACGGTTGATTTTGTAGCTTGACAGAGCGGTGGCCTCGGTAGAAAAACTCCCGATAGGGAGGAAGCCATCTCACACAGAAATGTCTGTTTTAAGCTCGAAAGAACGGTGGCCTGACTAGAAATTTTTCGTATAATACAGCCAACCTGTTCACTACCACAGATTGGCACTACCCACTATATAAGCCTGACGACTCTAAATCAGAGGAGGCCTATGGGAAGGGTATGCATAGCCTACCTATATAAGGGAACTTCAGGGCCATATTTCTACCCCTATAAAAAACCCTAACCTAACACAGCCCTTAATACATTCTAACAGGGAACCGAGGTCTACTGTGCAACCTTACTAAAAAACTCTTGTAAAGGGAGGAGATCTACAGAGCTCAACCTGCTGCCCGTAGAGTGATGGCCTAAACGACATTCACAAATGGAGGCCTATCACCATAAAGAGCATAAAAGCTTACTTACTACCAAACCCGACGCCAGACCTACAGACGGGTTCCACATTGAAGGAATCACTCATCACGGGTCCAGCCTCAGGGCTGATGCAAGAAGCGCCTGGGGTGCAGATTCGGACCGCGTGTTATGCAAGATTTAATGCAGCCGAGCGCACCTTCGCCTCTCTGAACTTTCCCATCACCGTCTCGACGGAGGTGCCGAAAAGTTCAGAAGGCGACACTGATGCATCGAGAAGAAAAGCTTTCTTTCTCCCTAGTATCATCCAAGTTCAACCACAGATGCCTATCCCTGGCCTGGCCCCGGCGAGCTAATCTGTAGTGCTGCGCAGCTCGTCCACTGTGTCAGGGGAAAGACCCCGACCTCGGTCCAAATCTTTCAGCAGATCAGTGTGGTATGCTTTCAGCACAGCCATTGTGTGCAAGGCATCACCAGCCAGACCGGCCATCGAGTATGCCCTGCCATTTAAGCGCAATGTTTGTTTAAAAGGCAGGGCCAGAGCACTTAGTGTTGATGCCTCTCCAACCGCGAGATAATTTGCGAACCTCTCGTCAATTGAGGCATCGACACATACCAGTGTTCGCGCATCCCAGAACACGGGTTCTTCCATGCCTTTTCGATCTCATTGTATAGATCGATCAGGAATGAAAGGCTCATGGGAGTTGAGCGTTATGGCTAGAAATAAACCGTTAGTAAAGTCTGCCACGAGCGGTCTCTTCCCTCATGCACTCATCATACGCGGGGCAGGATGGCTGTGAGGGTTCGAGTTGTAAAACCTCTTCACCCTCATCAGCCATCTCCAGCTTTCTTGGGCTACCAGCAGAGCACTCGCTGTCAGATCAGAGGATGTTAGTGACAACACATCCTCATCCGGCAGCCTAAACTCGCGAGCCTCCGAGGGGCGTGAGAGATAAACAACTCTCTCAAACTCCTCCGCGAGCTCCCTATGAAACCCCACGGTTCTAGTCTCTGCTCTGCCTCAGCGCGAGCAGAACCTGAATCACCTGGCACAGATGTCTGGCCCTCTTGCCTCGAGAAGAGGGCCAGACGAGAGCGAAGTTTTCTCAAGGGAAAAACTCAGTTAGCACAAGCAGTTCCCTCAAGAACTGATCGTGCTTGCTCTGAGCCCAAACAGTAAACGCACAAGTTGTGTGTGTCATCAAGTGTCAATATCTTAGACACGGATCCACACATTTCCTGAAGCATTTTTCACAAGCCATGATTACCTTTTGAAGTTTTCAGGTTGTAGCTTACAAACAAAACAGTCCCTGAAGACGAAAAGAGGATGACATGTTCTCTAGGCGCCCCTTTTATACTTCCGGGTCGCACTAGTAGTGACGTCATGTGACGTGCCATGATTGGATAGCTTTTCAGACACGTGCAGGGCGTTCCCCAATAGTGTCATCGACGCAGTGCAAGTTCCCTTTCGAAAGGGAACACCTATATAATAACACATTTTATAGTTGTAATTTTTACAAATATATAACAATATTTATTCTTAAATATAATTAAAATATTCAACCATAATAATTATTTTTATGTATTTATTTTCCTTTGTAAATATTCAAAACCACTATTAACCATTTATATAAAAAAAAAGGAATCAAATGAATAATGAATGCTTATAGTATTCATTTTTTTTATTGATAATAAATTAATTGATAATAAATTATGTACTCTATACCAGAAAAAAACACATATAATAACACATTTACTGTATGTTTTTACACATATATAACGATATTTATTTGTATATTAATAACAATATGTAATCTTATATTATTAAATATAATTAAAATATTCAACCATAATAATAATTTATCTATCTTTTATAAATAAATAAAAAATAAAAAAAATCACTCACCGCTTGTGGTATTAATTTCTATTATTTTTTCATAACAAATTATTCTTTAATTATGTACACTATATACAAAACAGAAAACACCAACATTTGGTCACTTACCTTAAAATGCAATCTTTCTCCTCAGTAGTTCCATGAATAGGACAGCAGCCAGAATAAAAGGCGCCCATTTAGAGCAACAAAAAAATGTTCCCCCTAAAATGAGCTAAAATTCAGTGCATCATCATACTCATGGTCATTGTTATAGTAGAGCAGACATCCTCCATGCACTAGGACAGAAATTTGTGCTGCTGAAGTTATTTCTCACAGACGATGTCCTTAACTTGATAATGGGCCACTCTGGCCATGTGACTGCACTGTTTAAATGCCCTTGGGACTAACTACAGGCAAAGTAGTCAGGTCTAGCACAGATCTGCAAACATCTGCGGCTTATTTAAAATGTATACATTTATGTCTGTATATACTGTATATATATATTCAGTATATGTTTAAATGACATACTGTACTTCATGTGAGCCACATCTGTGGACTTTCTTTGTAACCAAATTGCTTCAGAATTCAATGGACTCATATTGCGCAACAACAGTCAGCATTAGTTAATAGATACAGTTGTTGGAGGTGGGAAAGACTCAGATAAATTACACCAGGATTGTCATTTTGAATACAGTTTAATACGAATCAGTCTCATGCATGTCATACAGTGATATTGAGTGTTAAGTTAAAAGTGCGTTATGGCTCATTACTGCTCTGGCTCCAGGTTTGAGACTTTGGCCTGGGTAGACATGTACGGGCTTGGGCTGGTCACTAGGGGGCGCAACAGCTCCTTTCTCTTATTAGATTCAGCACTGGACTGTCTGTTGGAGCCAAGGCTGTTTTTCCTACAGTACACATACATAAGAGAATGAGAAAGTAAAGTCTTGGCTAATATCTCTTAAGCTATTCAAACAAGAGTCAATGCCACTTGAGTGCATTTCTTACAAAGTTTTTGTAAGATTTAAAAAACATTTTTTTTTTATCTGATCCAGATAAAGTGAGATTAAAATAAAATGTAGATGCCAGTAACCTGGAAGAGGAAGGCGGAAGAGCGATGATTCGTGGTCGTGTCGTCAGCACCAGCTCACCCAAGAAAGCCTCCATCATTAAGTTCTGCAAGGTGTTGAGCAAAATGCCCTCCAGCAGGTCACAAAACTCAGGAAACCTGCAGAAAAAAAAGAGAGAACTCACTAGGACTCACTAATGGGCATTCGGCTCACCACACTTCCAAGGTGTTCTTATTTGTTCTTTCAAGAACTGTCATTTTTTATTTAAGAACTTAAACCCACTGTCTAGGGAAATCTGGTTACTGTACAGTATATGAGGGCATTTTTTTAAAAGTGTGATTCCCAGACATGGAATAGTCATGGAAATTGTTTTTTTGTTGTCTAGCTCTGAAATTTTTTATTTGGCAGAAATTGCTATAAAAAATGTAAAACACCAATAATAAGTTTATTGGCCAGAACGCCTGTAAGTATGGAATTGAACTGATACTGATCATTTTAACTAGATAAAGAAGTTTATCAGGAGAGCTTTTCCCCAAAACATCCTTAGCCAACTATGGTTGCAAGTTCCGTCATTATCAACATAGTTCAACAAGTCTGTGTTTCCCGAAACCATAGTTCTAACGAACATTAGCAAATAGCATCGCAAAGTTATATGGTTGGAAGCATAGTTTCTTGTTTGTATGACATGTGGACTTGATAAATAACTATCTTGAGCAAAATAAGAAAGCTGTCAAAAAAGAAAAGCAGTCCTTAGATTTCATGTCCGTAATTCATAGCAAAAAAAAAATAAAAAAAATCGCATTGATTCGATCTCAAACAGATTGTTTAATTAATAGATGTCCACCACCTGCGTGACATCATTAATCAACATGGTTGAACGACAACTTTGAACGACAAAATTTATAATAATTAAATTTAATTATTTTACTATACTGCCATACAAAAGTTTAAAAACAAGCAGCTTTGTCAGAAGTACAGCAGAAATATACACATCAAATATGGTCTTGGACAGGGGGGGCCAAGCAGTGAACCACTGCAGACTCCCATCACCATGTAGAATTGCAAAACTAATGTTGACTGCTTTAAAACAGCACACCTGCGAATGGACTCCTGGACCTTCAGCTTTGTCTCCTCCGGTAGTTCTTTCAGAGACTCCAGATCACACTCACTCCTGGGTCGGTCTGCAGTGCTACAGTTTCTGGTGTAAGTCTTTGCTGGAGCGGCACTGGACACACCAGACATTTCTACAGGATCCTGGCAGCCTGCAGCAGAGCGGGGTAGAGTTTGTGCGGGGAGGCCAGGAGCAGGAGCGGGTCGCAGCTGTGTGAAGTACAGCACCTGCTCAGTGTCACCCTCTACCAGAGACTGCTGGAACTGAGGCTCATCTAAAAGACTCCTGTGGAACACAGTGAACGGTGTGACCTCACATTGAGGAAGTCTAGGAATGACAATTATTCCATTTAAAACGACAGAAGTGTGCATTACCATTCAAAAAAATCGGGATCAGGTTACTTTTGTGTTTTTGAAAAAAGTCACATGCTCTTGAGGCTATATTTATTTGATGACAAATACAGTAAAAACAGTAAAATTGCGTAACATTAGTCAAATATTTCTATTTTAAATTTAATTTATTCCTGTGATAGCAAAGCTGAATTTTCAGCATCATTACTCCAGTCTTCAGTGTCACATGATCCATTAGAAATCATTCTAATATGCTGATTTGATGCTCAACAAGCTTTTCTTATTATTATCATCAATGTTGAAAACAGTTGTACTGCTTAAAGGTAGGGTAGGCAATTCGTTTTAGGCAATAGGCAAAACACTTTTTGCTATACTGGTTGAAACTCTCTTCACATCTTGATAGCAATCAATAATATAAGAGCCCTAAATATTAAAACATGTACATCTTCTGTGAAAGTCTCAGGACAAAACATTTTCATCCAATCATTGCATTCGGTCCTCGGACTCTGATTTATGCGTTTCTCTGGCAACACTATAAACTCCGACATGAATCTGCATCAGTCAGGTGGTACTACTAGAGCTCTGGAAATTGTTTTATTTGTTCATTAATGTTATGTGCTTTGAGACACAATGCAATTTTACGTCGTCTCTCGTGACGCTTTGCAGACTTTTGAAGGAGGCGTGGCTTTGGAGAGCACACTGAAGGGAGGGTGGGATCTCATGCGTTCAACGCTAGCTTGCTATTGCTAGCCTCTCTGAAATTGCCTACCCTACCTTTAATGTTTTTGTGGAAACCGTGATACATTCTTTTCAGGATTCTTCAAAAGAACAGCATTTTTAAAAACAAAAATCTTTTATAACATTATACAATTATAAAGCATGTCTACTTTTGATCAATTAAGTGCATCATTTTTGATTAATAACAGTATTGACTTCTTTTAAAAAAAAACGTTTGATTGGTAGTCTATAAATTAGACAATGTAAGACATACTGTAGTAAAGAATTGAGCACGTGTGTGATGACGTCAAGAGTGAGAGGGGGCAGGTTTGCAGGAAGATGGCAGCCCTCGCCTGTGCCAGACTGAGAATGCTTGGACTGCGTAGATCTGAAAGAAATATAATAATAGACATCAGACTTTATTTACTTTTAATCCTCAAACTAAATCCTCCAGGTTTCAATGATCAATGCTGACTTTTGTACCCCATTGTACCTGTTGATGTAATGAGTGTTGAACTGAGTGGGGAAATGTGTCTGGTACTCCATGAGGCTGTGAGAGCGTGCAGTAACACCCAAGTGGAGCAGTGTAGGACAGGGAGGCTCGGGGCGTCTCCTCCTTTCCTGGCCTGTCTGCTGCGGGACCCGCTGTTCAGCCCGACTGGGTCTCGCTGAGGGACCGCCCACAGCGTGATAACTGCTACGAATGGGCGGAAGGGCCTGCCACATGGGGAACAAATCATTAGTCTCTCATTTAGAAACAAAATGTACCATGTAAATTAAACTCAAAATTTGGGTGAATCATAACTTAACTGTCTTGTCTTTGTGGTTTACCTTATATTTTCTTTTGCCAGTTTTCTGTTCAAGCACTGCACCTTCCTGAGGAGGATAATTCGTTTTTTAACATGTTTTGATATGGTGAATGGCTACTTGTCAGCGTTAAAGATGTGTGATTTCTGACCTGAGTGCATTTATCCAGTTGCTTTGTCTGTAGCAGGTCTTTCTCAGTGAGAGTAAACTCATATTTCTGTCTCTCTGTCTCCTCCTCCCACTGTCGCAGGTCTTTGTGATACTGTGCTAGCATATTCACAAGTGTTATCTGTCAAAGAGAGCCACAAACATTTAAATGTGTTTCCAGTATACAGTGGCCCCAAAATAATGTATGTGGATATTATATGAAGTCAGTTCTCCTCCAAAGTTCAAACAAGTGGCCTTGACTCAACATTGAAAGTGTAGTCATGATTGTGTTACATAACTACTACTGTTTGGTGTCAGTAAGATTTTTTTTTTAAAAGATATTTATACTTTTATTCAGCAAGAATGCATTAAACTAATCAAAAGTGAAATTAAAGACTACATTGTTACAAAATATTTATATTACAAATAAATCCTGTTCTTTTAAACTTTCTATTCATCAAAGAATACTGATGTACCACAAAAATATTAAGCATCGCAATTGTTTTCAACAATGACATTAAAAATACTTATTAATAATACCAAATCATCATATTAGAATGATTTCTGAAGGATCATGTGACACTCTGAAGACTGGAGAAATGATGCTGGAAATTTAGCTTTGTCATCCAGGAATAAATTACATTTCAAAATGTATTACAATACAAAATGGTTATTTTAAATTGCAAAAAATATTTCACAATATCACTGTTTTATTTATTTTTTACAGTATTTATGGTTAAATAAATGCAGCCTCGGTAAACATAAAATATTTCTTTCATAAACGAAAAAAAAAAAAAAATCATACCGACCCCAAACTTTTGAACGGAACCTTATCAAATAAGCATACTGTATGTGTCTATATGTGAATGTGTTCACTGGTGTATCTTTGTATTTGTCACCTCACAGAGGAGGTCTTGTTGGTAGAAAGCGGGGCTGCCTGAGGCCTGTATTGTCACGATGCAGAGAACACTTTCCCCTGGTGCAAGACGACCACTCATAGGACAGATCGTTACAGTCTATGGTCAACATTACAAACAAACACGATCAATAGTCAATATACTGAGTAGACTGGCCATGTTATCTGATCAATACAAATTTTTCTGTGGAGCACAAAAGGAACATTTCTGAAGAATCATGCACCTCTTTTGCACGCAATGACAATTTATAGTTCCATGGTGACAGTTAATTTCTGTCAAGCTCCAAAAAACACCAGGGAAGAACTATAAAAGTGTCTCATAAGACTTTTGCACAAACAAACAGTATATGG